ATGTTATTGCTCAGCTACTACTTTTTCGTTTATTGAAAGAAAGGCTGCAATTAGCTGGTAAAGAAATTGATGAGAAAAGTGATGCTAAAACAGTTGTTATAATCAGTATCAACTGCCTGAAGTTTATTCATGTTTGTGTTATGTGTTTATAATGTTCATAAACGGAGGGTGAAGACTGAGGGCGGAAGAGTAATCGGCAGAATTGCATGATGGCAAAAACTAAAGGACCGATAATTAAGTACGCATATAATAGGTTTCTTTCGTGTCACCAACCTGGTACAGCAGCAGTATCAACTTTCGTCTATGTGTTAATCTACTGGGCATAGCAATGATCTTTATCCCTATAAGCCGAAACTTTGCAATCGTCGGTGCTGATAACGACGATGAGGAGACATTTTTGCTGTATTTCCTTTTTTTCAGGTCACTTGAAGTCGAGACAATAATACAGCACGTAAGACAAAAAAATTTCAGGATTGCAATTAATTGAACGAATGAATGATTAATGTATATATATATATATATATATATATATATATATATATACGTTCATTTTTCAGTCTGAAATTTCCATGCATTTTTATTCAGTAATTCGCAACAGTTTGATCAATCAACAAAACGTTTGCCCCATAAAGAAAAAAAGGAAAATGATAGCACTAGCGGCGGTGACAACTTATAGTAAAAGTTTTTTGACTGTATTCCTTTCTTGTGTGTGTGTGCGCTGAGAGCCGAATCAAAAGAAGCAGCGGTATCAGTTTAGATACACAACTTTTGAAATAGAAACATATGAAGAAAAGAAAAATGAATAAACCGGTAAAAATAAAGCTCTGGAAACTGTTCTTCTGTTATTTGAATTAGGATAGTTACTTTTCTTTACCTCTTTTACCATCCTCCTCCCACTGTCTACGAAAAATGTCGACCCGAAAAAATAAAACGAAAACTGGAGATAAAAAGTAGAAGTCTTTAATGGCGCAAAATATATCAAAAATTTCTGTATACACATGTGGTTAACAACAACCATAAAACCGAACACACGCATAGACCAGTTTTTTTTTCCTCCGTGTCTCTTTTTTCCTTCCCCTAGACCCTTTCTAAAAAACTTTCATTCCCTAACTTTTTTTTACCAGTTGACACATCAGTATTAATAATATACAAACAACTCGGGTTGTTGATGATATCTGTGGTTAGCAACGCTGGCATTTAATTGATGCTCCGCCCAGCTGCTATGCGGGCGCGCAATGATTGGTTGCTGTGAAACGTGGACCAGTCAGCATCTGCCCCGCATAAACGAAGTCGCTGAATATATTGGATAGATGTTGTTGTAGTGCCCATCACAATTTATTTTCCTTTGTTCAGTTCTACGGCTGCATCAGGTGTTGTCCAGCTTTGTTGTTTGGATTCGGGTAACATCGGTAGTTGCTGTCCTCATAAGGGTCCCTGAGATTCATCCGTCCACCTAAATTCTTCGCGACAACTTCAGCCACTGCGAATCTTTGCTGCAGTCGTCGTTACCGTTGTTGTTTTGTTTTTTGTCGCCTTTAGTTTTGTTTCCTCGTTATTTCATTTTCTGTTTTTGATTCCCTTCGTCTCCACCCATTTGTTGACCATGAGAAGTACATTATTCATCTTTACTATTGCATTAGCTTATGCAGCAGCGGAAATTTACTTCAAAGAACAGTTTCCCGGTAAGTGTTCTTACAGATCGAGAGGTCTTTTTCTTTTGTTTCATCGCCTAATTTTCCTAACCATTTTTATTTTGCCTCTGGCCTTAGAACTTCTTCTTTGTCTCCATGTTTACTAACTGTGCCTTTTTATTGTCGTCTAAACCTGCGTGGGTAAAAAAAGAAACTTGTCAAATTTTTCCTGGGTTGAAACCGGAAATTTATGTGATATATTTAATTTAAAGATGGTTTTCTGTAGAAGAAATATTTTTGCGCAGTTTAAAAAAAACTAAGGAATTGAAGGAAAGGACTTGAAACTTCACCCATTACCGGAAATAGTGATATTCAAAGCTAATTGTATGAAGTTGTTTGGTTAAAATGAAAACTGATTAAGATAAAATTTCTGCTTCCTTATTCACTCTTACCATTTTTGCAGATAAGACTTGGGAAGAACGGTGGATACAGTCAAAGCACAAGGATGATTATGGGAAGTTTAAACTTTCACATGGAAAGTTTTATGGTGATGCAAAAGCTGATTTAGGACTTCAGACGTCTCAGGTGGGGAAATCAGAAATGCTTTAGTATTCATAGCAGTGCGTGAAATAGAAATTTTTCTGAACCATCGCTGAAAATATTAGTGGCAGTTTTTTCAAACGGCTGCGAATATTTTCTAAACTAGCATTTTAAGTGATTTTTGTGTAAAATTCTCCCATTTTTTTCCGGTTGAGTTTGAACTACTCGAGTTGCTCGCCTTTGTTTACTTTAGCCATATTACTTGTTCGGTTGTGCTTCAGGACGCCAAATTTTACTCACTTGCAACAAAGTTCAAGAAGTTTTCTAACAAAGGAAAAAGTGTTGTTATTCAGTTTACTGTGAAACACGAACAGAACATTGATTGCGGTGGTGGCTATGTTAAGGTGTGCTTTTGTATTTATTTGTCTATTTTTTTTTGTTGTTTTGGAGTAATCATTTAAATAACGCAGCTGCCAGCAGTAAGTACTTCCATTTAAGTGATTTACGGAAGATTTTTTTTTACAAATTTAGGTTGTTTCTGTGTCTAGTATTATTTATAATTGCTAGCGGTAGAATAACTGCCTCTGGAATAAAGTGTGCGAGGTTTTCAGGTAATGGCATCAGATGCTAATTTGGAAGATTTTCATGGGGAAACACCGTACAATGTGATGTTTGGCCCAGATATTTGCGGTCCTGGAACGAAGAAAGTTCACGTTATTTTCAGCTACAAAGGAAAAAACCACCTAATCAAGAAGGACATACGATGCAAGGTTTGCTTTCACTGCTTTTTTATTTTGTTTTACTTAAATTTTTAAAAAGGAACTAGTGCTTTAAATAATTTCTCATATTTACCCGCTTCTGCTCAGGCCATTTTAAACTGAATGTTTCAAATGGGGTTGCGGGAGCAAAATGAATCTGGCATTAGGTATCTGCCAGGACGATGGAGGCATGATAAATGCTAATGGCGTTTTGGCTCGCATGATACTGCCTACATTGAGTCCGCAGAATTTAGTGCTTTGTTTTGGGAAGCTGCCTTGCTCTGAAAAGAGTTTTTTTAGGATGATGAAATGACCCACATGTATGGTCTTATCTTGAATCCAGATAACACGTATGAAGTCCAAATCGATGGCGAGAAAGCCGAGAGCGGTGATCTTGAAAGTGATTGGGATATGCTCCCACCAAAGAAAATTAAGGACCCAGATGCCAAAAAACCAGAGGACTGGGACGAACGTGAATATATTGATGATCCTGACGACAAAAAGCCGGAAGATTGGGACAAGCCAGAACACATTCCAGATCCGGAAGCCAAGAAACCCGAAGACTGGGATGATGAAATGGATGGCGAGTGGGAACCTCCTATGATTGACAACCCGGAATTCAAGGGAGAGTGGAAACCAAAACAGATAAAGAATCCGGCATACAAGGTTATTTTTTTTTCACAGTTGTTTTCCTATGGCGAATGAGTTTTCTATGGGATCAGACGTGGATATTTCAGGGCGTTTGGATTCATCCCGAAATTGATAACCCAGAATATACGCCAGATGATGAGCTTTATTTATATGATGACTGGGGAGCGGTTGGTTTCGACCTATGGCAGGTCAAGTCAGGAACTATTTTCGACAATATTATCATCACTGATTCGCTGGATGAAGCAAAGGTTTGCCCAAATTTTAGTAACTTCTGCAAAACAGCTATGCTTAGTAACTACTTCAAGAAACTAGTGGTTGTCAACCTTGAATATTTCTACTATTTTGAAACTTTACAGAAATTCGCCGCTGAGACGTATGAGAAGACGAAAGTTGGGGAGAAAAAGATGAAGGAGAAGCAGGATGAGGAAGAAAAGAAGAAGTTGGAGGAGGAAGAGAAGAAACGAAAGGAGGAGGAGGAAAAGAAGAAGGCAGAAGAGGAAGAAGAAGAAGAGGAAGAGGAGGAGGAGAAGGATGAAAAGAAGAAAGATGAGAAGAAAGAGAAGGAGGAGGAAAAGAAGGATGAGGTAAGTTTTTTTTCTTTCTGTCCATCCTAATATACTTCTCTTATTTGTACAGCAGTTGAATAAACCACTAATCATTTTGCAGGATGAGCACGATGAACTGTAGCCGGTTAGCTAATGTTAAATGGGTATAATAAGTTTGCCAAATTTCTTCGCAACTCGGGGCACACTAGCTTGGTTCCATTCCTTTACTTTTTTACTTTGGTTGAGAACCATAATTTATGCGTTGGAAAGAGAAGTCTAAGATTTCCACCCAGCCGTCGTTTCTTTGTCATTTTGCTGACGATGTTGCATGGACACTCCCCGTATTTTTGCTTTCTGGATCTCTGGTGCAATGTGTACAGAACTGACTTTTCAGCAAAGCACTTGTTTTGAGCTTAGTCCAGTTCATTCTTTGTTTTGTTTTGCTATGTTGGCTTGGGAAGCCTAATTGTTATTTATTCCTGTAGGTTTGAGCATTGTTTAGTTCAGCTTTTCAGTTGTTTGTTGATAAATTATTTCTTCATTTTACGGTTTGCACGTGCACTACAGTCAATAGTAGTAGCTCATACGGGTCGGTCGCATTCGTTTGCATCAGTGCTGGGGCTTCCGGGTCGCAGTTGCTGTTTTGCCACATGGCTCGCAATTCAACAAGCCTAGTCCAAATGTTTGCTGCTCGACATCGTTAGGTAAAAGGGCCAACCTCCCCAAGCCCCTGAAAGGCGAATAGACCGCCTTGCCTAAACGCCACGTTCTCGCGCAGCAATTTAGCTGACTTGCGAACTGACGTGCAGTAAGTGTCAAAAACGTGAAACATAGCAAAGGGTTCCAGGAACCAGCGAAAGTTCTGCTCCCGGAACGCTTATTACGGGTCCCAGGCACGACTGTCATCCTAAAATTGATTTAAAACAGAAAGCAAACAATGGAACAGTCAAGTCAACAAAGAACACTAGCGTTTTTAATCATCAACGGCGCAAAACAAATATCAATAATACCAATGTAAGAACAGCAAAAGAAAATTGCCAATTAAAACTGAAATCACTCGAAATGTTACCGGCGTTTGGAATTGCACACTCTACAATTCAAAAAACTGAACTGCTTTTCAAGCTATATAAAGTGCGACAACAGAATGATCAACAAAAGAAAAGAAGTTCCCACTGCCTTGGAAAAACCAAAAAAATGGTAAAGCCAAAATTTCCCTGTAATCCCAGCTATAACTCCACAGAAGTGATTTAGAAATTAAAAAAAGCTATAGCACATTCCTCTAAAAGCTCCAAAATATACACAGGTTATAACAAACGTCCCCTCTCCTTTCCGACACGTAAAACTACAATAATAAAAGAAAGAAAAGAAAATTTGAAGATATACGATCAGACAATAAAACAAACATCTATTATGCAGAGAGATTAACTTTGTTACCAGTACCAAAAGGTTAAAACAAATGGAATAACATCAACAAGTTGCTAAAACGGTAAAACACATCCTTCTCATTGCTCCTTCCTCCTGATTTCACGACTGCTCGATCTATTAAATGTGGCTATGGTCTTGGAACCTGACCAACCTCCCAAAAAATTATTTCCTATGAATCGACCAGACAACTCGTTTTTGATACAGTAATTTTAACATGTGGAAATTTTAAGATCCATCTAACCCCTTCTGCACTTTCAAACCGTTTATGTTAATACTTGCAGGCCTACGCTTAAGAAAGTTCAAAGTTTCACCACGCATAGCGAATACGAACTATAACTAAATTCACACTGTAAATTCAATCACATTCCATTTCTTCGTCACAGTCAGAGTCGTACCCCTCTTGCTGGCGAAATCCATCGAAAGCATCTTTTGTACCCATACTTATTAGTTTCACGTCTCGAAGAAATTTTTCATTTTCGGATTTCCGAGCGTTCGGTTTCATCCCAACTAAAAAAGCAAGAAATTTTAAACCATCACTCAATGACGTTATCTCAAAAACTAATCGAAAAGCAAGAATTTCTTTTACAAAATAATCACTAAGACTAAGGAAGAAATCGATCTGTAACAACATTTAACGGGGAAAAAACTGTGCTTTAAATTAAAACAAAGACTAACTGTTATCCTGAAAAATACTGTTTTCAATGAAAGCTACAGAATTGCATTCGTTGTTGGGAGCTAATTTCTCCAGCCTTAAAGATTCAGTAGCTTCCCCTAACTGACTTGCACCAAATGGATCCTGAAAAGTTTTTCATATAAAACTTAAGATCCTGTTTATTTCAAAAAAAGAAGAAAAAGCCATACAGCATCTTCCAAGTACAGGTCACCGCGCAACTAAAATTGATTTAATTTATTTAAATAATTTCTAATTTCGCAACTAATTTCTGAACGAAATAATGTGCTATTTCAACTGTTACTGTAACTGTAACATCTAAAAGTATTTCTTTACTCTAACTTCACAAAAAAATACAAGTTGACCATGAGCAAAAAAGAAAAAACTCTTAAATTGAGAGTCTACTAAAACCAATTTACACAAATAGTTAAGTAACTTCAAAAAATAATGCGGAGGAAATTTCTACAGAAAACATATTTAATTGGAAGCACAAACTAAAAACCTTAAGAATCAGCTCATATTTTTACCAAACAAGTTATGACCAGAATTATACCAAAAAATTAGAGCAGTGAAAAAAATGAACAACCAAACGTTTTTTTCATGCATAAAAACAAAAACGTTGAATAAAATAAGTAGAAAATTAAAATAAGTTAGCATGGTATACAAAAACTGATACACTACAGCCACAGCTTTTATACAGCGTATAAAGTATCTGGAACCAGAACTTCAGGCAATGAACAACTAACTGCAATGAAAAAGAAACTTAAAAATTATGCTTTTAGGGAAATACCAAAGACAATTCTTCTAGCCCTATCAGAGTAGAATAAGTAATATCTAACATGAAATTTAACAAATACAGGTGAGGCCACTGATATTTCGAACTCGACTCTTAAGCATGTCTATGGCGCTTATAAAACTAGAATTCCTACTAGTCATATTTCAATTGCGAAATTTCGTAGTTGTTACAGAGCTTAAATTCCTACAGATCGATCAACTATAACTTGGAAGCTAAAAAAGAAAAAAATTTTCTCAAAAATCATACTAACCAACAATTTGAAAAATCGTAAACTGTTAAAAAGTACGACAAGAAAATAAAATGAATAAAACAAATGGCGTAAGGAAAAAGGAAGATAAAAATTACCGTAGCAAATGAACCTTCTTGCGAAACTAGATGAAATCCTGAAGACAGTTTCTCATTCCCCGCTAAATCAAAATGAGACTTGTCCTCCAGGTCTCCAAACCGAAAAGGAGTTTGTCTAGCTGTCGGAGGTAGTGATAAAGCAGATGCCCCACCCGCAGATGTGCAGCTAACGCCAACAACTGATGATGTTCCCTGACGCGTATGCCGACTGAAACGAATAAAAATATAAGCAAGAAATACTCACTTTTAATGCGATGCAACCAAGCATATGTAGTTCTTTGAAAATACTTAACGAGGCAGAAAAAATAAATGACTTCTACAAAAAAAAAAACGTATTGTAAGGTAACCATCAAATTGAAAGGAGCGAAATCCACCTTTTATTCAAACATGAAGAAACAGAGTTTGACCTCTTCCTTTTTGTTTGACTACAATGAGGAAGGACCCTACTAGAACGTCTTGAAGTGCCCAAAGATGGGCGGCAAGAAATAGACTGACGAAGCACCTTAACCAAAAACCATTACAACACATGAAATGAGCAACTATTGGTATTCCATATTAATGAAAACTAAAAAGACACAATAACCACGGTATCCAAAGAATTGCTGGACGAGAATGATTGCACAGGTTGCACAACACTTTCGGAAGTAGTAGAAGATGTAGTATAACCACTTTCAGCGAGACTTGAAGCTGGCTCTTGACTGCATGAATTCAGTGTTCCAATACTACCCAAATATGCTTCATTTTGAAGATTAGGGGCATTGCTGGAGTGACTTTGTTCAACCTGAAAATGCTCCTACACCAAAGTTCGCAAGCAAATATTTTAAAAATACGCCCACTGACAATGACAAGAATAGGCTAGTTCCAAAGCTCACAGTACAAAAAAACTTTGGTGATTTTGAAAAAGAGAATATATTTTCTTATCAAATAAACGTCAAACACCAAAAAATTACAAAACCAAAAAAATACGGATAAGAAAGTATTTCAGAAATATCTGTCCTACCAAGTCATTAAAAATCCAAAAATTTCAGAATATATCCTGCCTTCACCTCCTGCTTCCAATCCATGAAACTGATCAATGAAAAATATAAAAAAAATCTTTCTCTCTCATTTTAAGTAGGCTACAACTAATCGATCAGAAAAATAAGGAATTAAAGGTAATACAACAAGCGATTGGGACATGTAAGATACAGTTTTAACAATGCAAAATACCAGATCCTGGCCCGACATTCACTGCTGGTCGTAGTTAAAAAGGAAGAGCGACTTGTGGTATTCACAGACATAAAACGACTCAGTTGCAAACGGTAAAATAAGTAGTAGAAAACAAGGAAAAAGGCATAAGACCCACACTTATAAGTACTTCAAGTTTTCTCTTTCCTAAGTATTCTTCCAGTTTCCCTCAGGATTTACAGCAACAACTCTAGCGGTTTACAATTTTACTACCTGATATTTCAACAACTTAGAATATGAAGAAATAGAAGAAAACTCAGTAGCTCACAATAGACCGACGGGAACTGACTGACCTGTACCAAATCAAGTGCTGCAATTGTTGTCCGTTTACCAATTTCACTAAGGCGATTTGTCTCAGGTTTCAGTATTGTATCCTCGATTGCACGCTTCAAATCACCAAATAGCATTATTCCCTTCAAACAAAAAACTCCAGACTGCTTGCTCTTTACCTCTTTTTTCTTCAATTCTGCAGTAGCAGCAGCAAGAAAAGAAAAAACAAGGAAGAGATAGTGTAATAAGATGAGAAGTAAAACTGAGACTCAAATAGCCAATGGCAATAAATAGCAATGATTCTGATGTACCCGCAAAACGAGATTTATGTGACCAATTGCGCGCTCCTAAAGCGACGCGACTTAATTGCGTTGCGCTTCAAAAATAGTCTAGTGAAAAAGCATGGACACAACCTGACAGCCCATAACTGAAAAGAAAAGTTATTTTAAAAAGCGAAACTAAACAAAAACAGGAATTTCCGCTAGAAAAAAACTTTTAATATACAAATCTTCGAGTGTCGAAAAATACTTGCACGCGCAAGAACAACAACAATAACAATAACACCAATGATAACAATAGTAATATTGACAGTAACAATAAAAACAGTAATAAAAATAAAAAATAATAATAATAATGACAACAACTAAAGAGCAGACACCATATATTCGGCTGCTGAAAAGAAGTACTAAACCTCCTCTGTACGCATTTACGTACTAAAGGCGGTTGCTTTTATATTAAAAAAAAAAAAACTGTTTCTAAAAAGGAAAAGGAGTCATTGCTAAATAGTGGAGAAACTTCAGCAAAATTTTTTGCTGCAAAACATGATGTAAACGCGACCGAACAACGGAAAAAACCAAACCCAAGCAAACATGGAACGCTTGACGGAACACAACATCGTTTTTAAAGAAAACGAAAACGAAGAAAATCCACTTATATCTATGATATTAATACTTCAGAAAGCCAATAATACAAAACAATATGTAATTTTTACTACAACTGAACATCATCTGTTACTGGTCGAGCAAAAAAAAGTAATTCTCTGAAAAACAGCCGCAAACGACAGAGAAAAAGGAAATGAACAAAAATAGCAACCGGGACATCACCAGCTGACAAGACTACAAACTTTGCGATACCGTCGACAACCTGCGTCATACAATCACAGCCTGAATGGAAGCTTAGCGGCGACCAAGTAAAGCAGCATATTGTAACCAATTAAAGTTGGTTGGACCCCTGAAAACGAATGCAAAAAAAAAAAGAATATCGCCTCGAAACTATAGCCAATCTAAAATTTAAAAAAAGTGAGGCGTTTCACAAAGCATCTTCAGCAAGAATGAACAAACAACTATACATTTACACAGCCACATCGGAAATGACCCTAACAATTTTCATTTTTCCCCGTCTTCACCTTTCTGCTGCGCACTTTCTGGAAACACTTTCAAAACATTCGGATTTTAAAAGTAACTTTCGAACAGTTAAAAAGAAGATAAAAAAAAAGGAAAGCAAGTAAGAAGATATATCGTACGAATTAAATTTAAATTCAACAATCATAGGTGCTCAATGGGTGACATGAAAGCACGATTAAAACTGGTAATTCAGCTGAAACCGTCATAAAAAAATTTTTTTTAGCAACTTTTTCTAATTATGCCCATAAAATTCTCTGAAAAATGCTTCCCCTTCTCCTTCTAAAAAAAGATCAAAATTAAGACAACAACAGCAACGCAAAAGCAACAAACCTGTAGAACAAAGACAAAGATGTCAAACACACAGTCTCCTCGTCGCTTACATGATCTCTCCACTTATTGTACACCAATTTTTGAAATCTCCCGAATATTCAGTGAACTATCTGTAACACGATAAAAGCTCACGCAAAAAACTTCAAATAAATGACGAGAGTAATCGAAGTCTTTCAATTTCGGCATCATAGAGACGTAACGACAACATGTAACAAACAACAATAACAACAAATAAACTTGTCCTAATCATTGGTTA